CATATACATTTTACATAATACATACATGGTACTTTTATAAATATATTATTTATACAGACAGTACATACAGTTCTGCTTGAAAGTACGTGAACCCTACAGGGCTGGTCATTATTTTGCTATAAAATATTAAAATAAACATAATATCTAAACCCCAATTCGAAATAAAGACATTCCAAGTAAATGACAGAAACAAAATAATGTGATATTTTCATTGTTTATTTAACAAAAGTGGTTTATTTAACAGAAACTCAGATTTGATGTGTGCAAAAATGTGTGAACCCCTTCAGTCAATAGCTTGTGGCACCTCCATTAGCAGCGATAACTTGGACTAAACATCTCCCATAGTCAGTAATCAGTCTCTGACATCTATTTTGAGTATTTTAGTGTATGGGTGGTCCCGGGGATCGAACCCACTACCTTGGCGTTACAAGCGCCGTGCTCCACCAGCTGAGCTACAGAGGACCACATGCAGCAAGGATGCAGCAAGGAAGGTCTGCAAATCTCTAGATGTTATGTTTGGGTTTGCTTTTACCTCATTTATTATTGTTCTTGGGGATATTTTGGAAGGGCGTCCACTTCTAGGCCGAGTTGCTGTCATGTTAAATGCTCTCCATTTTTAAATAATTTACCTCACGGTGGACTGATGGAGCTCAAATCTTTATGAGATGATTTTATAGCCTTCCCCAGACTGATGTGCTCTCACTACCCTCGTCCTGATGTCCTCTGAGATCTCCTTTCCTCTCGGCATGGTGTGCTTTGCATTCACCTGGATGGGTACCACCAAACTGATCAAGTTTCTTATCTTTATTTATCAAAGTCCCGCCCAAACTCTTTCCTAACGATCTCTCCTTTGATTGGTTCATTTGGTAGCTAATTATTTCCCCACCTGATTCTACTTATCTACTTGATTTAACCAATGCAACTTGGGGTTCACTTATTTTTGCACCTGCCCTAATTCCTTTTTAATTTTGTTTTTCTACTACAAGCATGATTTCCTCTACACCAACATATGGTATTGGTAAATATAAACCTGTTATGTCAGATCAAAAATACTGGTTCTGATTACATTTACATTTTAGTCATTTAGCAGACACTAAATTAAGATTTAATGGTAGAAACTGAAAAAATCTGTAATTGCACAAGGGGTTCACATACTTTCAAGCAGCACTGTACATACATACATATACATACATACACACATGCATACATACACACATACATATATACACACACATATATATATATATATACATTAGATTTGACTCCGGTATACAATATATTATATGTACACTACCGGTCAAAAGTTTTAGAACACCTACTCATTGAAGGGTTTTTCTTGTAGAATAATAGTGAAGACATCAAAACTATGAAATAACATATATGGAATCATGTAGTAACCACAAAAGTGTTAGACAAATCAAAATATATTTTATATTTGAGATTCTTCAAATAGCCACCCTTTGCCTTGATGACAGCTTTGCACACTCTTGGCATTCTCTCAACCAGCTTCACCTGGAATGCTTTTCCAACAGTCTTAAAGGAGTTCCCACATATGCTGAGCACTTTTGGCTGCTTTTCCTTCTCTCTGCGTTCTGACTAATCCCAAACCATCTCAATTTAGTTGAGGTCGGGGGATTGTGGAGGCCAGGTCATCTGATGCAGCACTCCATCACTCTCCTTCTTGGTAAAATAGCCTTTACACAGCCTGGAGGTGTGTTGGGTCATTGTCCTGTTGAAAAACAAATGATAGTCCCACTAAGCCCAAACCAGATGGGATGGAGTATCGCTGCAGAATGCTGTGGTAGCCATGCTGGTTAATAATAATAAAATATGCCATTTAGCAGACGCTTTTATCCAAAGCGACTTACAGTCATGTGTGCATACATTTTTACGTATGGGTGGTCCCGGGGATCGAACCCACTACCTTGGCGTTACAAGCGCCGTGCTCTACCAGCTGAGCTACAGAGTGTGCTTGAATTCTAAATAAATCACAGACAGTGTCAACAGCAAAGCACCCCCACACCATAACACCTCTTCCTCCATGCTTTACGGTGGGAACTACACATGCAGAAATCATCCATTCACCCACACGCATCTCACAAAGACATGGCGGTTGGAACCAAAAATCTCAAATTTGGACTCCAGACCAAAGGACAAATTTCCACCAGTCTAATGTCCATTGCTCATGTTTCTTGGCCCATGCAAGTCTCTTCTTTTTATTGGTGTCCTTTAGTAGTGGTTTCTTTGCAGCAAATCGACCATGAAGGCCTGATTCACACAGTCTCCTCTGAACAGTTGATGTCTGTTACTTGAACTCTGTGAAGCATTTATTTGGGCTGCAATTTCTGAGGCTGGTAACTCTAATGAACTTATCCTCTGCAGCAGAGGTAACTCTGGGTCTTCCATTCCTGTGGCAGTCCTCATGAGAGCCAGTTTCATCATAGCGCTTGATGGTTTTTGCGACTACACTTGAAGAAACTTTCCAAGTTCTTGAAATGTTCCGAATTGATTGACCTTCATGTCTTAAAGTAATGATGGACTGTCATTTATCTTTGCTTATTATAGCTGTTCTTGCCATAATATGGACTTGGTCTTTTACCAAATAGGGCTATCTTCTGTAAACCCCCCCTACCTTGTCACAACACAACTGATTGGCTCAACCACATTAAGAAGGAAAGAAATTCCACAAATTAACTTTTAAGAAGGCACACCTGTTAATTGAAATGCATTCCAGGCGACTACCTCATGAAGCTGGTTGAGAGAATGCCAAGAGTGTGCAAAGCTGTCATCAAGGCAAAGGGTGGCTATTTGAAGAATCTCAAATATAAAATATACTTTTGGTTACTACATGATTCCATATGTGTTATTTCATAGTTTTGATGTCTTTACTATTATTCTACAATGTAGAAAATAGTGAAAATAAAGAAAAACCCTTGAATGAGTAGGTGTTCTAAAACTTTTGACAAGTAGTGTAGTGTTTTCAATAATACCATTACCAATCATGAGCTCTTTAATCCCACCCCTCAGCTAAGAGTAGGTAAATACCCTTAATGTAATCTCCATTGAACCTCACAGGATATAGGCCTACAGTAGGCCTATACATATCGTGTCAGGAACATCAATCATTAAACTTTCTTTGATAATCAAGCATTATGCCAATGACCAGCCAGAGAGCCACTAGATACTGTATCTAGGTAAAGAATCAAGAAGGGTGTGGAGGCTGGTATTCGAACGTCTTGTCATCCTGTCATCTTTTCAGAAGGTAGGCGACAGGAGCGACAGCGTGACGGGTGTGTCCCCAACCAACTCTGATTTGAGTGTGGTTAGTGTATGTGATGTGTTTGTGTGTGTGTCTGTTTGCATATATGTGTGTGTGTGAATGTGTGTATACAGTATGTGTATGTGTGTGTGTAAGGTTTTGTGTTTCCATTATGTGTGTGTGTTTATGTGTACACGTGTATATGTTTGTGTGTGTACATGCCGTGACGTGTGTGTATGTGTGTACTAATGTGTGTGTGTGTGTGTGTGTTCGCGGTGGGTTTGTTTAGACTGGTCGGGATTGGAAAAGCGTGAGAGACAGAGTGAGTGGGAAGAGGCCATACTTAGGGGTTCAAAGTGAAAAAGGGGAGGGACCTCCGTCGTTGCGGAGGAATGCAGAGCGAGCAGAGGAGGCCTGATGGTTAGCTGGAGATGGTGTAATTAAGGGGCGTGATTGTGAGAACCTTCTCCGGGCCCGCAAAAGGGTCCTAGATAAAAGAGTCTCGGGCCTTATCTGTATCTGTTACATGTGGATAATTACTTCAACACACAATCACACACTCACATGCACACATGGTGACTCTCCGTGAGACACAGAGAAGACCAGATGCCACCACCATACCTGAGAAAGCCTAGTAGAGCGAGTGATAGAGATGGCTGCTGCTAGTTGGCTGGCCTATAGATCAGTGGAGGCTGGTGGGAGGAGCTATAGAAGGACTGGCTCATTGTAATGGCTGAAATGGAATTAATGGAACAGAGTCAAACATGTGGTTTCCATATGTTTGATATGCTTGATACGTTCCATTTATTCCATTCCAGCCATTACAATTAGCCCGTCCTCCTATAGCTCCTCCCACCAGCCTCCTCCGCTATAGATTGTGGTTAGCCGACCAATCAGGCCACTTCGGAATTCTGAGGAGTGTCATAAATTAGACAGCTCGGGTGAGGGCTTCCTTTTAATCATGCAGCCCAGTGCGTCGCCCCGTCGGTGCGGCTCGTGTAATTTGGGCCCCTGCCTGAACGTGCTATTTGCAGAGTAAAAGGCTTGATGACATGTCGCCCTCGCCGCACAGTGCTGCGTTTCAGCCCGGCAGGGTGGGGCGTGAGACGATAAGTGTGGCGTTGTGTTTCTCACCAAAGACATCAGCGTTGGTTAGTTAGTTTGGCAGGGGCTCGCAATGTTTTTGTTCCCCAACCCAAACTAACACAAAACCGAGGATTCTATCACAGCTGTATGCTAGCTTCCTAATCACAAAAAGTTCATTCTTACCCCGATCAATGATGCAATGTCTGATAACACTAAGCTTAGAATAAGCCATATCAAACATAAGTTGGAGGCACGGGTAACACTAACTTGCTTAAAAATTGTATTTAAAACCAAAACAAAATGGAATCCCTCAAACCCATTCGTGGCTAGGACATGAGAACCAGGCCCAGACCTCTGTGTTGTCTCCAGACTGTTGGATGTCAGGCTAGTGATCTGTTTTCCTGCCTGTGTTGAAAGGGGTCACAGTGAGGGAATGTTTCACTAACTTTACTGTTGTCATTTCACAGTTCACACTCTTCACCCGCTCACACTGAAAACCGAGTGTGCTGAAATATAGCATAGCCCTGGAGATATATGATTATATGATTCACAGGACATCAACACAGAGGCTTTCTTTTGGAGGGGGGCGGTAATCCTTTCAAGAACTCCATCTCCTTCCCCAAACCCCCTTAGTCTTCTATCAACTCCAGATGATATGAGTGTATACTGTACTGTACCGCTGCCTAGCCCTGGCCTTGCCGAGACCTCTTCTCTCCTCTCCTCTCTTCACTTCCCCTCCTCTCCCCGCATCGCCTCTCATCTCATCTCCTCTTCCTCCCACAGGGTGCAGGATAGATAACTGTGAGTCCTGCTTCAGTAAAGACTTCTGCACCAAGTGCAAGGCAGGGTTTTACCTGCACAAAGGGCGCTGCTCCGAGAAGTGCCCTGAGGGCTTTGCGGCCATGGAGGACACCATGGAGTGTGGAGGTAAGAAGGAAAACAGCACAGACATATGTGCGTCTGAAATAGCTCCCTATTCCCTATGTAGTGCACTACTGGGCTATGGTTCAAAGTAGTGCACTATATAGGGAATACGATGCCTTTTTGGAGTCATTCATATTGTGTTTGAAATATGGAAAGTCGACAATGTGGATCACATTGAGGCAGGATCTCCTAGAACTGATTGACTTTACCCAACAGTCTTTAACCTTCTAACCTCTAGTATATGTTTTTGAATGAAACAGTAGAAGGATGGAAAGGACCACACACCAAGAGGTTATGGCCATCCTATAGTCTTTTCACTATGTACTGTAGTAAACCTTTGTTTGGGCCCTCCATCGAGTCTCCCTGGTGCTACCCTTTAAATACTCATGTCTCTCCCCACACAGAGGGCTGCGAGGTGGGCCAGTGGAGCGAGTGGGGGTCCTGCACCAGGAGAAACAAAACCTGTGGCTTCAAGTGGGGTCTGGAGACCCGGACGCGGCACATCGTGAAGAAGCCGCCCAAGGACACGATACCCTGCCCCACCATCGCCGAGTCCAAGAGATGCAAAATGGCCATTAGGCACTGCAGGAGAGGTAAGACATATCACCGTATTGGCAGACAGCTGTTTGGGTGGGTAGATGGATAGTGTGTGTCATCCATCTCTATCTTTATGGTGTGTCTGTCATGTGCAAGTCTCTCCTCAAGGATTATAGTGATTTAGAGCAGGGGTGTCAAACTCATTCCATGGAGGGCCTAGTTTCTGTATGTTTTTTTTTCTTTTTCCTTTCAATTAAGACCTAGACAACCAGGTGAGGGGAGTTCCTTACTAATTAGTGACCTTAATTAATCAATCAAGTACAAGGGAGGAGTGAAAACCCGCAGACACTCGGCCCTCTGTGGAATGAGTTTGACACCTGTGCTTTAGAGACTTGTATCTAGGGTAAGGGGATAAGAGGCCAGAACCCCCTCTTGGGAGAACCCATTTCCCCTCTCTGGTCTCAGAGTCCCACCAGGTATGTCTGCTGCTCTAGCCCACATTAACCCTGTGTGTCCCTCAAACACAAACCCACCACTCTCTGCCTTTTATTTAACCTTTTGGTTTTTAGGTGCACAGTGGCGTTTTCATGCATGAAATATCTGTATTTTTCCATGGCCGCCCCATTCAAGCCAGCTCACCAGGTTTTTCTGGGGTATATATCTTTTTTTTTCTCTCTCTCTCTTTCTCTTCAGTGGAATTCTTCAAAGTATGAACTGCAGGTTTCCTCAATGGCACTCTCTGTTTCCTCCCGTCCATTTGAAAGTTATTTGCGGTACGCACAGCATGTACGTCGACCATTAAATGAGAAGTCAGATCTGGAAATATTTTTTGTGTAAATACAGCTAGGAAAATATTTTTCCTGAAGGTATTCAGTTCTTCACAGATTATCCAAACACACCATTTAGAGTGATGGCCTCGTACAAGTGTGCTTATTGACGAGGTGATGACAGAAAAGCTGTCCCTAACTCAAATATGTCCCTAACTCAGTCGATGTGATTTTGGATTAGGATATGCTGTGCTTCCTTAGGCAAAACAAGGAGATATAGGAGTTATAGTGGCAAATTTGATTCAAGCCTTCCGAAAAATGATGAAAAAGAACATTGTTCAACAAAACCAGGAAAATATCCTACTCTCTCTCCAGGATTTTCCTAAATTTTTGGTATTGTATGTTAAATCCAAGTACCATTTATTGAGGTGGTGAGAGAGTAAATAAACTTCAAATAAACCATGATCGTCTCTCATATTCCAGCAATATTGAGGCAGACAGTGCTTTCTGGCTTGGAAACTGTCCCACTGGGCACAGACGTTAATTCAATGTCTATTCCACGTTGGTTCCACGTCATTCAGTGTGTGCCCAGTGGGGTGATTATGTGGCACATTTCGTTCCTATCCCTTGTCCTGGTTTCTTCTTTAGGAATCCCCCCCCCTAATTTAGCACTGCTTGCTTGACCTTTTCCAAAGTATTTTATGGTCTTCTTTAATTAAAACCTGGCATTGTTGGGCCTGTGTTACTGGCATAAATTATTTAGTATGAGGTCAGTGATGGGGAGTTATTGTGAAAAGTCTAAATTGAATGCATAGCAAAGCTAATTTTCTGCTAGCCTGTAGAAACCAAATGTGGGGGCCTCTAACGTCGACCTCGCTTATCACTCCTGTCTCATGGTTGACACGGTCATTGTCAGTATTAGTGTCTTCACCCCATTCAATGTCTCTGGGAATGGTCCATGGCTTCAATTTAGTTGTGTAGTTAAAGTTGTCTGTAGTTGTTGCAGTGTGCTCTTTTTGGTTACAAAAATGGCAGAGGTGGCTCGTATCATAAAGTTGTGTTTTGTACTTAAACAGCACTGTTAACTCCCCGACCCTCAAGCCGCTCAACCCTAAGTGGTAGTGAGAAATCCTACCCCACCAAAACAAAGCCTGTGAAACGAAAGACTCGTCAATGTCAAGCTGTTTAAATAACTACTATGTAAAATGGAAGCCATTTAAGTCGAGCGGGATAAGGGAATGCCAAGAAAGCAAAGAAGAAGAAGTACTCAGGGTTCCACACAGCCCAGAGATTCATTTAAGGCAGGCAGCATGGACCCAGTCCCAGTTCCAGACTGACTGACATTGTAAAATAATCACTTCCCATAAGTGATAATAAAGAGTAATCCAACGGGAGGAATGTCTGTCTTTCCCTTTGGTGTGCAGGTGACCAGGAAGTGGTCCAAGCCGGTGGATGAAGATCAAGAGGTTCATGGAAAGGCCTCATTACGCCCGGGTTCATTATGAAATACCTCCCATTTGACCTCATAAATTACAACAGATTCCAGGGACTTTGGGCAGTAAGGCCCTCCAATGCTATCTAATACACCACGGCTTTGCTCCGCAATATAACAAATTACGTCTTAAGAAGTGAATAGGATTATGCCCAGGCTATAACCACAATGTATGTTTTTTCTTCTAAATATACCGTTACAACAATACAACCCAACAAGAAAATAAGTTAGTGTGTGAACTAGAGTAGAATCCCGTGTGACACGAAAGAAAGAAAGGCTGGGTTAAGAAAATATAATTTGGACTGCATGTAATTTCTTCCCACTGAACACCAGTATTTGGGATAAGTATTGGATTAGATTGCTGTCGATTAAATGAGACAGGAAATATATACACTGCTCAAAAAAATAAAGGGAACACTAAAATAACACATCCTAGATCTGAATGAATGAAATAATCTTATTAAATACTTTTTTCTTTACATAGTTGAATGTGCTGACAACAAAATCACACAAACATTATCAATGGAAATCTAATTTATCAACCCATGGAGGTCTGGATTTGGAGTCACCCTCAAAATTAAAGTGGAAAACCACACTACAGGCTGATCCAACTTTGATGTAATGTCCTTAAAACAAGTCAAAATGAGGCTCAGTAGTGTGTGTGGCCTCCACGTGCCTGTATGACCTCCCTACAACGCCTGGGCATGCTCCTGATGAGGTGGCGGATGGTCTCCTGAGGGATCTCTTCCCAGACCTGGACTAAAGCATCCGCCAACTCCTGGACAGTCTGTGGTGCAACGTGGCGTTGGTGGATGGAGCGAGACATGATGTCCCAGATGTGCTCAATTGGATTCAGGTCTGGGGAACGGGCGGGCCAGTCCATAGCATCAATGCCTTCCTCTTGCAGGAACTGCTGACACACTCCAGCCACATGAGGTCTAGCATTGTCTTGCATTAGGAGGAACCCAGGGCCAACCGCACCAGCATATGGTCTCACAAGGGGTCTGAGGATCTCATCTCGGTACCTAATGGCAGTCAGGCTACCTCTGGCGAGCACATGGAGGGCTGTGCGGCCCCCCAAAGAAATGCCACCCCACACCATGACTGACCCACCGCCAAACCGGTCATGCTGGAGGATGTTGCAGGCAGCAGAACGTTCTCCACGGCGTCTCCAGACTCTGTCACGTCTGTCACATGTGCTCAGTATGAACCTGCTTTCATCTGTGAAGAGCACAGGGCGCCAGTGGCGAATTTGCCAATCTTGGTGTTCTCTGGCAAATGCCAAACGTCCTGCATGGTGCTGGGCTGTAAGCACAACCCCCACCTGTGGACGTCGGGCCCTCATACCACCCTCATGGAGCCTGTTTCTGACCGTTTGAGCAGACACGTGCACATGTGTGGCCTGCTGGAGGTCATTTTGCAGGGCTCTGGCAGTGCTCCTCCTGCTCCTCCTTGCACAAAGGCGGAGGTAGCAGTCCTGCTGCTGGGTTGTTGTCCTCCTACGGCCTCCTCCATGTCTCCTGATGTACTGGCCTGTCTCCTGGTAGCACCTCCATGCTCTGGACACTACGCTGACAGACACAGCAAACCTTCTTGCCACAGCTCGCATTGATGTGCCATCCTGGATGAGCTGCACTACCTGAGCCACTTGTGTGGGTTGTAGACTCCGTATCATGCTACCACTTGAGTGAAAGCACTGCCAGCATTCAAAAGTGACCAAAACATCAGCCAGGAAGTATAGGAACTGAGAAGTGGTCTGTGATCACCACCTGCAAAACCAGTCCTTTATTGGGGGTGTCTTGCTAATTGCCTATAATTTCCACCTGTTGTCTATTCCATTTGCACAACAGCATGTGAAATTTATTGTCAATCAGTGTTGCTTCCTAAGTGGACAGTTTGATTTCACAGAAGTGTGAATGACTTGGAGTTACATTGTGTTGTTTAAGTGTTCCCTTTATTTTTTTGAGCAGTGTATATATATATATATATATATATATATTTACCTGTATGTAGGTATACACTATTTATGGCAATGTTTATCTGATCGCCCCGGCTTGCATTTCCATGCGTTGAAATAACACTGGAAGTCATTTACAGATTCATGTCCCCCAGCTTAACCCTGACGCACAGAGTCAATGATCTTTCTTCCTCAGTGTCTTCTGAGAGACATAATCCCTCATCAAGAAAATATACATGGAGAGAGATAGTCAAAGCCCAGATAATGTCAAGGACGTCAAGGAACAAAGCATTTCTCACCGAAACGCGAGGATACGTCTAAAGCGTGTCTGATATATTCATGACATCTCACCGTACTGTATAAACAATATGATATAGTTTTCCCTTCCACCACCATGTTTCAATTTATTTTCTCTACTGGAATTGACATAATAGCTTGCCACTGGGCACAAACTGGCTGAATTAACATTTTTTCAATGTAATTTGTCAACGTATTGTGACTTGGAATCTACGTGGAAAATACATTGGATTTGAAAAAGTAATCAAAGCTGTTGTTTTGAGGGTGAAACTTAAACCACAGGATTATGTCATCATAGTAACCACATTTCAACATAGACAAACCTTGTATAAAATATGTTGAATTTGTACCTTTAAAACAACGTCAGATCTTCAATGTAATATCCAGTATCAGAAAACAAAATAGATTCACTGTTGCTCTCAAAGTCATTCCAAAGGGTACAGTGAGGGAAAAAAGTATTTGATCCCCTGCTGATTTTGTACGTTTGCCCACTGACAAAGACATGATCAGTCTATACTTTTAATGGTAGGTTTATTTTAACAGTGAGAGACAGAATAACAACAACAAAAATCCAGAAAAACGCATGTCAAAGATGT